GCTTAAACTCAAAAATTGTGAGGTGATGACCTGAGCTGAAATCAAGAGTCAGAAGCTTAACTGACTGAGCCACCCAGGCACCCCTCTATTGTTAATTTTTTGAGGAACTGCCATACTGTTTTCCACAGAGGCTATATTATTTGACATTCCCACAAACAGGCCACAAGAGTTCCAGTTTCTCCGCATCAACACTTAGTATTTGTTTTGTTGGCATTTTGATATTGCCATCCTAGTTGGTGTGAGGTAGTCACGATAGACTTTTTAATGGTTTAGTTTTCCAAAGAAAAATAAGTTATCAGATTATCAGGGACTCTTAACAGGGCACGAAGGTAACTTAGAGTTGACAAAATCCCTTGCTGACTTTCATGAACGTTAAGATAAATGATAGCATTTCCCTTTGCTAATGTGATAGTATTGATGTTCAATGAATGCTGGTGGTATGATTGCAGGTAAATTGGCAGGATGAAGAGCAGCAAATCAAAAGAGGTGCCTTTACCAAATCCAAGGAACTCTCAAAGCAAGGATACTGTCCAAGGTATGATCTGTTTCCTTTAAATTGAACTTAATGCCTTGTTTATGTCGTGTGTATAAAACTCTGGGCTAATCAGTAAATGAAAATTACATGTATCCTTTGGTTTGTAAAAGGTAGATAAATTTTTAAATGAAATTTCTTTTAAACATCCAAGGGATCTCACCTTCAAAGGTGTCCTATGGTAAACTTTTATAAAGGAAAACATTCTTTTTTTTTTAATTTTTTTTTTCAACGTTTTTATTTATTTTTGGGACAGAGAGAGACAGAGCATGAACGGGGGAGGGGCAGAGAGAGAGGGAGACACAGAATCGGAAACAGGCTCCAGGCTCCGAGCCATCAGCCCAGAGCCTGACGCGGGGCTCGAACTCACGGACCGTGAGATCGTGACCTGGCTGAAGTCGGACGCTTAACCGACTGCGCCACCCAGGCGCCCCGAAAACATTCTTTTTAAAAAAGAAGCAGTGCATGCAAAATTAGTTTTACACAGTTTCTTAGAAATTCTGAAAAATTCTGGTAATGTCAATAAGTGGTATAATATAGGTCCTAATATAGTCTTAGGCCTCTGTAGTGCACAGATAAGAAAAGGAAAAGTCTCACTGAACTCTTTTTTTTTTTTTTTAATGATGCATTGGGGGTAACTTTAATTTAGGGCATGATATATTTTGAGGTACATTAATAAGCTAGAGTACATCTGAAGGAAGATTATTGGGTTTGTGAGGGATCTGGAAATCATGTCACATAAGGAACATTTGGCAGAAATGAAATTTCCTAGAGAAGGATGACTCAAGGAACTATGTGGCCTTATGTTGTTTGTAGGGCTATTATCTGAAAGACTAGATTTTGCCTTTGTTTCTGTTGGTAGATTTAAGTCTGGAGTACTTTTCTAATCTTTTCAGCATCATAATGTGAAATATATCACAATATAAAACTTTGTATGTGTGCAGGTCATTGGGGCAAATTGAGGATACTGCTTATTGTTGGGGACGTCTGATGGAGCTGCGGGTGGGGGTGTTGGTCCAGCTGTCCCAAGAACTAATAGGATCAATGTCTAATACAACTGTAAAACATAAACTAGGAAACTTGGCGTTATAGGATGGGAAAAGAACCATGTTTTGGTTCAATATAATAAAGCAGTTGCTGAGGAATAGTTCTGCCTAATAAAATGGTCCTCAAAATCAAGTGCATTTAGAAGCTTATTAAAATGCAGATTTTGAAGACTTTTTCAGAGATTCTGATTCAGTAAATATCACTGTTTTCTAGCAGATATAACCACATCGTGGAATGCACTTTCTCAGACCAAGGCTGCTGTAAGTAATTATAGCTTCCATTTATTTCTTTCTGGTTTAAAATTGATTTCCTGTTATGATTGGATAGATTACATTTTTTTTTTCTATAGTGCTTTTGTGATAGGAAAATAAAGTCAAAGATTTTGGTTGGAAATTAAGTACCATATATTACAAAATGAACATTAATGACAGCTATTAAATAATAAAGGGATAATCAAGACACTATTTTAGTGTCAGGAACATTAACACTATGGCATATAAAATACTAAAATAATTTGTGCTATTTGTTCTCCTTTAATAAATTTGTTCATCTGGTATGTTGAAATGAAGATATAAAACAAAATGAATTTTGAAGTATAGGGCTATGTCTATGTAGAAGGCTCAGAGTCAGAGAGGAAATGAAAGGAACAAATTTTTATTTAAATTCTATTTGGTTAACGTATAGTGTAGTATTGGTTTTAGGAGTAGAATTTGGTGACTCACCATTTACACAGCTTCTTTAATGGACTGTGAGTTGCCTCTTTTGTGGCAATAGCAGGCTGTTTTCTGTCAGTAGTGTTGAAGAATGTCTATAGGCAACCTGTTTTCATTTGTGTTCTGTCCAGTTGTCTGAAGTTTAGGAACCCAAATTTGACAAGTGGTGCATAGTCCCTTCAAAGGGAGCCTTTTTCCTTTTTCTTTTTTCATTTGCTGTCCAGGAAAATTACTCTCCTAATTTGTCCTTTCTTTGTTTTCTTTTGTATCCTACCTGAATTTGAGTCACTTATTTTTTACTGTGTGAATATGGTATTTTCTGTACCCTCATCTTCAGAACTGGTTTGAAAATGCATCGAAAAAGGTACTATAACCTAGATTTGGTCATAATGTAGGGTCACATGCAGCATTATATATATTCTCTCTCTTCCATATGAGCATTATATATCTACAATGTAGGAATAGTTTTTATCCCCAGTTTAACTTAACCTAATTTAGAGCTAAACTGTCAATTGTCGTTTTTCAAAACTATTGTGTTTTTAAAAATAACTTTTTTTTAAGTTTATTTATTTTTGAGAGAGAGAGTGTGAGTGTGTGCAAGCAGAGGAGGGGCAGAGAGAGAATCCCAAGCAGGCTCCGCACTGTCAGCACAGCAGCCGATGTGGGGCTTGAATCCACAAACCATGAGAGCATGACCTGAGCTGAAACCAAGAGTTGGGTGCTTAACCGACTGAGTCCTCCAAGTGCCCCTAAAAATAACTTTCAAGGATGACAGGGGGCTTATAATATAAATGGGAGAAAAAGCCTGATAACAGAATATCAATGATTATTCCAGTTTTGTGAGTACATTGTACCACAAAAATCTGAATGAAGATAAATCAGAATTTTACACAGTGTTTATCTCTGTGTGGTGGAATTTTGATGGTTTTAATTTCATTTTTTTATACCTTTTCTGTGCTTTACAAGCTTTCTCCTGTAAGCATATAATTAGGGGAAAATGGTTTTTAAATCATTGAGAACATTGGTGGTTATACCAGAAGTTGACTTCTGTAAAGTGTATGGAAACCTGAGTTCTATCTCGTGAATTTTGTTTTTATTGTGAAACTTATTTTATAGACAGAAGACTTAAAAAGTTGTAGCTGTTTGAACAATTCTAAAATTTGAGTCCATCTGAGTTGTTCTTTTCTAATTTTTGCCTGTAAATTGCACAGGCTATATAACGATGATGTGCAACATATAATGTTAGAAAATGTACTGTTTCGAAAAATAATAAAAAAAAGATCAACAAAACAAATAGAAACTCTTTGATATTCTTCAGTATCTTTTTTTAAAAATTTTAAAATATGTGTATTTATTTTTGAGAGATAGGGAGAGAGAGAAGGAACTGGGGGAGAGGCAGAAAGAGAGAGGGAGAGAGAGAATCCCAAGCAGGCTCCGTGCTGTCAGCACAAAATCCCCACAAGGGGTTCGATCTCACAAACTGAGATCATGACCTGAGCTGAAACCAAGAGTCGGGTGCTCAACTGACTGAGCCACCCAGGTTCCCCTCTTCAGAATCTTTCTGATTTTCTTGTCCAAATGTGGGCAGCATTGTACTACTTGTTACTATAGCTGAAGTAACAAACAATGAAAAAGCTAATACTACAAAAAGGCAGTCCTGAATTTTTCCTACTTTAGAGAAAGGTGTCGGACAATATAATTTGTGACTGTGTAAATCAGTAGTAGCTGATTTATATACAGAATTAACCTATTTGTTGTGATGGTGTTTGAACTTTAGCTGAGACACATTGAAAACAAATTAGAAGTTGTCCCTACAAGTACAGCTGTGTTTGATTCTGTCATGGATACCAAGAAATCTTCTGCAAGTGCTACCAGAAAAATAAGTAGAAAAGGTATGTGTGTTGTTGCTTCCAGAATTACAGATGTATTACATTTTTGATGTTTTCTTTCAATTTAATTTCCTTCTATAGTCTGGTATATTTGCTTGCTCTTTTGTCCGAGACCATACCTCATCAACATTTAGGTGTTTTGTCTTCGGTGCTGAGTAGTTATGAAGCAGCTTCATATTCAGTGACTACTGTTGGTGCTTTCACTATCTTTTGATGAGGGACTTTAGCATCATTGCATCACCTTTGACAGTGACTTTTCATTTGTTTTTCGTGATAAGAATTTGATTTTAAGTCTTTGGGATTATGTCTGTATTTTAAATTCACAGATATATCACTTTGAGATTTAGTCGATTTAATAAGATTTACGTATTGTTTAGGGGGTTAAATCATAATTGGAATTATGTATCTCATAGGTAAATTGAGACAATGCCATTACTTTCTCTGGTTACCTTTCATATATGTAATTGTGTGGTTTCTTACTTAATTAGTGGACTACAACCTGGAGGTTAGTACTTTCCATTAAAACTGTGATTTTTTTTTTTAAACCTGTGAGTCTGTTGGATTTTATTCGATAATTCCTTGTTTGAGTGAGAGCCTTTGACCAAAAGGAATTTTGTATGTAGAATCTGTTTTGCATTTTTTTTGTTCAGAATGCAGTTTTTTCCTCTATAGATTGAGTGGTTTGTAATAGTTTAATTTGAATGTTTTCTGTACACGTATATGATATCCAACTAGAGATGCCAGAAATAATAGATACTTATTTTCATAAACACTACCCAAATTCAGAGGCAATCGTAGATTATATCATATGTTCTTACAGACTTTCTTTTCCTTCAGATGGTAGATTCCTGGATGACTCTTGGGTTAATGCTCCAACCTCCAAATCTTCAAAATCACGAAAAGAGAAATCTCGCAGCCCTCTCAGAGTTACCACCCTGGAGAGTAACATAAGGAAAAATAACCGCGTGGAGTTTCGTGAACCTTTGGTTTCTTACAGGTTAGTGTTTAACAGTAAATTATCAACTAGGATTAGCTTGTAATATTTACATTAAGATTATGGTTTATTTTCTGAGTTTTTCATAGCACTGTGGCTCTAGTATTATTACCTTTTTCATTTCCCAAAAATGTAGAGCAAAAGTCTTGTATATGATGAAATATTGACTTTCTACTCTTTCACAGATTAAATATTTGGGAGGAAGAAGTAGTGACTCCAGGCTGCCACCATTGTAATATATGTTTCCTACAGACAGATTATTCAGTCTCTGGAAGTGTGGCTTTTTTTTTTTTTCTTCATTAATATCTCAGATTAAGTGTTCTACATAATGAACTTTGTATAGCTTAGTTTTCTCCTTCTTCTTCCCCTCCTCCTCCTTCCTCTTCTTCTTCCTCTTGTTCTTCTTCTTCTTCCTCTTGTTCTTCTTCTTCTTCCTCTTGTTCTTCTTCTCCTTCCCCTTCCCCTTCCCCTTCCCCCTTCCCCCTTCTCCTTCTCCTTCTTCTTCTATCAATTACCTGAAATTTCTTTCCTACTGAGAATGTGAATTGGTTTCTTATTTTAATTTGTTGCCAGTGGCTCCTTTCAGCAACTTATTGTCAGATGTTCAGGATTGATGTATGAATTTTGATAGAATGGATAATATAAAATGTGTATTTTTGTTAGCTGATAATTTAGGATTTCAGTAGATAAAATTAGAGAATTTTATATTTGAGGAATATTTTACTAATGATATAAAAGTATTAATGCTCTTAGTATAAAAAATAGTAATAGGTGATAAACATTGGGCCTTATATTTCTTTGTTTCATTAACATTTTTAGTGTTGTAAAATGTCAACCAGTAAATCAAGGAGTTTCATGATGGTGCTAGATACTACTGGGTATATGTTTGTGCTCTTAAAATTGAGATAAAGAATTTGGGAGATAGAGGTAGATCATGAGTTCATATCAGTCTATAACATCAATATTTGATTTGATGCAGTTTTGAAATATCTAAGTGAAAATATTCAGTAGGCATTTGAAAATTTGGGTAGGAATGTGTGTGGAAAGAGGGCTGGGAATGTAAATTTGTGAGTTGTCACTAGTGTTGAAGCGATAAAAATGGTGAAGAAAATATAGGGGAGAAGGCCAGGGAATTAATCTGTGTAAAAGTTCATAGTTTAGTAAAAGGAGAAAGAAAAATGTGGAAAATAATCGGAGTTCAGAAATCTTTAACCACACAAAAACAACTTGCCTAGAAAAATAATCACTATCGGAATTGAAACTAAATTACTCTTTATTCATATTCTAATATTCTTCCTGCAAAGAATACTACTTGAAAAGAAAAGAATACTACTTGATATTTAAAATTTTATAAATTATGTATCTTTTAAGATAAGAAAAAGTACCTATAGGGAAGCTGTGAATAGAATGTCCTTCACCTGGCTGACTCCATTCATCAGTCAAAACTTCGGTTTTGGCACCTTGTATCTGAAACATTGCCAGATGTGTTTCTATCCTATTCCATTCCCACAGCCTATTTAGCTCTTCCTGTATGCTCTAATAATACAATATAACTTCTTCTGTTATATATATTTTCGTGTTGCTTTATATTTTGATTCCATATCTAACCATTACATTAGTTATGTAAGGCTGTAAATCTGTCTTATTCTCAGAACATCAGCTTAATGCCTATCATTTACTAAGTATTCCATAAATATTTTTCCCTAACATTTATTATGAAAATTTTTATATTTACAGAAAAGTTGAAAGAATTGTACAATAAACACCCTTCTATGTATTCAGTAAATATTTAATGAATGAGTGAATGAAAACTAAAAATACGATTTTCTTTTTCTGGTGGGGAGGGAAGATCAACTGTCCTTCCCTTTTTAAGACTGTGACATGATATGGAAACTACCGTTTTATGCTTTCTTTTATTCTTTACATTTGCTAATTTTATACCTAAATCCTTCTAACTATGAATTGTTCTGGTCTGGTAAAGGTAGTGCAAATAACTGAATTTAGTCTTGATCTCTAGTGGAAGCTACATGAGTCATTTCTCAGTCCCCAGCTTGTTTAATAATCAACCACTCAGAACGGGGTCTGATGTTTTTTGGGTCATGGATTCCAGTGAGAATTTGATGAAAGCTGCAGACTATCTCCTTAGAAAAATGCATATACTCATAGACTGACAATAGATATAATTACCATATTATACTGCAACAGAGTTATGGCTTTAAGAATTTTTGCGATATTTAGAGTTTTGTGCCTTTCCACGAAACATCTAGATCCGTGCTGTATAATAGAACCAGTAATGTGAGCCATACGTACAATTTAAACAGTTTTAGTCACATACACAGACACATGAAGATGTTTTACATTCTTTTTCTGTTGTCATCCTGAGTCTTTAGAACCTGGTATGTAATTTACATTGTAGCACATCTCCCATTGGGGCTAACCATATTTCAAGGGCTCAGTAGCTACATGTGGCTAATGTCTACTCTTTGAGACATTGCAGATCCAAATTTTATCATTTTGTTGGCTATTTTTTCATAAATCATGTGCTGTTGTTACTGCTGAGGCTTGTCTTCATTAACTTCGCTTTTAATAAACTACTTCTGTTCCTAAAATATAACTTATTAGAATGATGTATAAAATAAAAATAATCTCTGGAGGAAGAGTTTTGTTAACGTTTTTATGAATAAAGAATATGGGCTTTGTGATACGTACTTTGGCTATGCCTAGTTGTCTTTGCTTACTCCACAATTTCCAGATGTGCTATACAGAGTTTGAAGCTACCAAAAAAAGTGATCTATGGTTTAGAGAGGTTTAACTTTACTTAACTACATTTATTTGAAGGAAAATATTTATTATACCTCCACTTTATTTGTACTCCCCATCTATTTGTTAATTTGGTACATTATTTAGAAGTTACAAACACAGAATTTGAGAACTTTTTTCCCATACTTAAGATTTCATAGAGGAGTAAAATGCATATTTTGGTAATAGGTATCAAGTGAATTTCTAAAGTCAGATTGTAATCCTATGTTCTGGAGTTCTTAAGGAAATCTCTCCATGTTTTGCATGTTTCTTATTTTACATATGCACATTATGATTTAGATTATTTGCTATCTAACTTGATAGAGGGGGCACTGAGCATTGAATCTTAATGTTAGTGATGAGCATTTTGTTTTTTAACCTACTGGAATTTCTAGATTTAAAAAAAAATCTCTAATAATAGAATTCTTTCAGTTTGGTTTCAGTTTGTTTTTTGTGCTCTTTATTTAAAGCTTATTATTTTTTAATAATAGGGAAATCCATGGCACACCTTCCAATATAAGTCCTAGCCATCTAGAGTCAAAGCATGTATATTGTGTGGATGTTAATGAAGAAAAGCCTGAGAGTGGGAACCGGATGATCTGCAATCGAGAAGAACGGAACATACATTGCTGTGATTTTGAGAGCTCCCAATCATCTGTCATCAATGATACAGTGGTTAGGTTTTTAAATGATCGACCAGCACTTGATGCGTTGCAAAATTCTGAATGTTTGATTAAGATGGCAGGTCCTGTGAGAACTGAGGAAGAAAAGCCTAGTAGAGCAAAAGGAAATGAGAAGGCTTCTGTAAGTAACATGGGCCATGATGTCGATCCAAAAGTGTTACGGATAACGGACTCTTCTCCGTCCTCTACGAGTACTTGTAATTCCCAAAGATTAGATATTTTAAAGCAGCGACAACATGATGTCAAACTGGAAAAACTCAAGGAGCGAATTAGGAAACAGTGGGAACACTCAGAAGAAACAAATGGCCGGGGCCAGAATCTGGGTCATATTGACCATCCAGTAATGGTTGTTAATGTTGATAACTCAGTGACAGCAAAAGTCAGGAAAGTGGCAACAGCACCACCCGCTCCAACATATAAAGGTTTGTAGTCAGTCTTTGTATCTTTCTCTCTTCCTGCCTTCTTGTCCCCCTTTCTCCCTAGGGTGCATTTGAATAGAGAAGGTCATCTTTAGAACAGGGTGTGATTCTCAAATCAAATGCTTAAGAAATTAATTCAAGGTGCAGGTTAAAAATACAGATTCCTGGATGCTATACTGGATCTAAATCAGAATTTCTCGGTATAGAGTCCAGAATTAGATTTTTTAACAAGTCCCTCAGGAGATGAAGAACCCCATCTGAATAGTTAATAAATTGAAAAAAAGAGAAAATACGAATTAGTGTCGTTTTTAGAGAACTGCCAGAATTTTACTCTTATTCCACCATTGTATTTGGATTGTTATTAGGAGTTCTTTCAAAAGTAAATATTTAAAATTATAATTGAGTTAATTCCAGTTACAGTTGGTTACAGAATATTTTGGCACTGATATTTTGATCCTGTTATTTGAAGCTCTTAAGTTTTGACAGTAAGGGATTCCCCCCCCCCGCCCCCATGTTTGAGAAAACAAATATTTAAATCAGATTTATACCAACATAGATAGATTTTCATTGAGAAAATCCTTTTCTAAGAGAATTTCTGCTTTGTAGCCAACTCAAGTTTTTATATATGGTGGTTTTAAGGAGATTGTATTTTTATGTTCCTGAACTTATTTTCACAGAGTTATTCATGTAAAGTTTTTAATTAAAGAGTTGATTCATTGATCAGATCAGTCTGTGTTAGATTTTTGTCATTAAAACTTCTGCTACCATAGCCTTTCTTTTGTCAAAGTTCAGTTTTTCTAGATAAGTGTATGAAGATCAAAAATTGTCAAGATTCATTTTTTCTGTTAATTTTAAGTTATTAACAAACTAGGACAGTTTTTGCTATAGTTAATTTTGTTTTGTATTTGTCTACCAAGTCTAACTTTTCTCTGACCAGCTTTGCAGTTTTTTTGTAGTCCTAAGGTCTTCTTCTCCAGAATGAATTTTATATGTGCGGTTAGAGCAATTATTGGTTTTATTATTTTTTTATTTTTTTAATGTTTATTATTTATTTTTGAGAGAAAGGGAGAATGAGAGACAGAGAGCAGGTGGGGATGGGCAGAGAGAGAGGGAGACACAGAATCCGAAGCAGGCTCTGAGCTGTCAGCACAGAGTCCGTCGCGGGGCTTGAACCCACGAACTGTGAGATCACGACCTGAGCCTCAGTCGGACACTCAACCAACTGAGTCATCTAGGTGCCCCAGAGCAATTATCAGTTTTATTTTGTGTTGCTTATTATATTTTGATAATGATAATTAATTGTGAATTAGATAAAAGGTGGATAATTTGCATTTTATCCTTGTTAATTTGTGATAAACTTGTGAGCAGTTCCCTTTAGAATACTGAAAACTTGTTTTGTTATTCAGGATTCGTCTACTGTATTATTAATTAAATTATTTCATATCCTTCTAGTCATTTGTGTACAATGTAGTAATTGTCCACACCGTTGACAGAGCAAATAGCAAATGTTCTTATTGGTTGTGAGATAGTGATTATCCAAAACTTTTGCTATATTAATGTCAGATCCATTAAATAAAGATTGTACATTTAAGGTGTGTTTATTCTAGAAATCAAAGTTCTGAAATTCCAAAAGTTATTCCAGTAAGGCAAAGCTAAGATGATCAACCTAAATCCATATTTTATTTAATAATTTACAAAAATCTAAAAATTAAAAATAGGACGGAACAAAACAAACGCAACCCGAACGAACCTGAGTGAAAATCTTAAAATCTTAACTTCCTCTGAGTTGGTGATTGGATTTTGCACTTACCTTTTATTTAATAATTTTTTAACCTGTTAGTTTTCATATTAAAATGTTTTATAGGGACACCTGGGTGGCTCAGTCAGTTAAGCATCTGACTCTTGATCTAGGCTTGAATCTTGTCTTGGGGTTGTGGGTTTGAGCCCCACGTTGGGCTCCCTGCTGGGAGTGAAGCCTACTTAAAAAAAATTTATAAATAGAACTTTTGGGGGCTAATTTATGAACTATAGCATACATTTGTGAAATTATAACAATATGGTTTCCAACGTCCTGAGCAATGGATTTATTTTTCCCAACACTGAAAAACTATTCTTGTCAACTTTTTGCCAATGTAAATGAACAGGATCGTAATATACTATATTCTAAAGTGACATTTTACTTTCATTTGTTCAAATACGTAATAAATTCACTTGGTTCACAATTCAAAAGGTGAAAAGGATGTACCAGGAAAATCTCTTGTTCTGCAGCTCCCTGGTCCCCTTTCAAAGGTTATTACTTGTGTTAACAGTTCGTATATTCTTCCAGATAATTTTTGCGTACACAAATAGTATGTGTGTGTTTAATTATTTTCTTTCTCTTTTTATGCAGTTGTTAGTATACTAAACCCATTCTAAACCTTGGTTTTCCATTTATGTTTTTTATGTTATTTATTTATTTATTCATTCATTCATTCATTCATTCATTTATTTAACGTTTATATACTTATTTTGAGAGAGATACACAGAGTGAGTGGAGGAGGGGCAGAGATCTAGAGGAGAGACAGTATCCCAAGCAGGCTCCACACTGTCAGTGCAGAGCCTGATGGCGGGGCTCAAACTCAAAAACTGTGAGGTTATGACCTGAGCTGAAATCAAGAGTCGGACACTTAAATGACTGAGCCACCCAGGTGCCCCTGGTTTGTTTGTTTTTTTTTAATTTAAAGACACGAAAAGTGTTCTATGATTCTGCTTTAAAATTTCAATTTAAAAGTAGTGAACACAAACAGTGTTTATGTGATTTTTGTCTTATACTTAGTTGTTTGCATACATTTTTCTCCCTGGTGTAAATGCCCATGAAGTTTAAGACCTTATATTGATCATCCTTATTTTATTTCAGAGCCTAGTACACTGTCTTGAGCATAAGTGCACAGTAGCTTTTTTATTCTAGTCAATAAATTCAACTAGTAATGAAAAAAGGGAACAAAGAATAGAAATACGGTAGTCCCCCCATCCTCAGGCGATACGTTCCAAGCCTCCCAGTGGATGTCTCAAACTGTATAGTGCCAAACCCTATAAATATTATTTTTTCCCTATACATACATACATACATACCTATGATAAAGTTTAATTTATAAATCAGATACAGTAACATTAACGAAAATAACTAGAACAATTATAACAGTACACTGTAATAAAAGTTAAGCGAATGTGGTCTCTCAAAATCTTTAAATTTTTTTTAAGTTTTCCTTTAAGTTTAAAAAAAAAATTTTTTTTTAAGTTAATTTACTTACTGTAAGCTAGGGAGGGGCAGAGAGAGGGAGAGGGAGAATCCCAAGCAGGCTCCATACTGGCAATGCAGAGCCCGATGCATGGCTCGAACTCACGAACTGTTAGATCATGACCTGAGACAGAATCTAGAGTCGGATGCTTAACTAACTGAGCCACCCAGACACCCCTCTCAAAATCTTATTGTACTGTCCTCACTCACCCTTCTTCTTGTGATGCTGTGAGATGATAAAATCCCTGTGTGATGAGATGAAATGAATGACATAGGCACTGTGACGTAGCATGAGGCTACTATTGGCCTTCTGATCATCTGATCCTGGGCCATGGTTGACAGTGTGTAATGGAAACTGCAGAAGGTTTAACAGCGGATAAGGGGGGACTACTGTAAAATTGGGGGACAGAAAAGGGAACTGGTGTAGATATTCAAAGCTTCTTAAACTTAACTTATAAATAAAAATGCAGATATAATGAAAGGCTCCCATGGAGATAAATGTTTCCTGAAGAGGAGAGGAGAAAAAATGATGGAGTTGAATGCAGAGAGATGGGGTGGGGATGATGGTGGTGAAAAGTTGAGAGAGCGAGAGATTTGCATGGGATTGTCACACTTTCTTATTACAAACTGTAGCTTGCAATAGCCTGGAGACTACGTTTACAAATTTTTTGTTGCATAGGCATAATTGCATGCCCCTTGCCACAAATGTCAGGTGAAATTAAACTTCTGTTCTTGTGCTAAAAGCTGAATAGATTCATTTCTATTAGACATGCAATTAGTTTACCAGTGCATCTTATTTAACACTTCTAGAGTGCTTTTATCAGTTTTTGACTCCAGTCTGTTCTTTATATTGATTTAATTTTACAAACATTTATGGGGTGCCAATTCTTTGATAAGTTGAGACCATCTGAAAATAGAAATCTTTATACTACTCCAGTTATCGTCCATATTCATCATTTTTATGATTTTTTAAAATAGCCTTCCAAGATAAATTCGAAGTAGGAAATCAGACTGTTAATCCCTAGGAAATAGCACATGTGTAATGTTTGCTGCAAGATTGAACAAGTATGTTTTAAAGACCTGTTTTCTACACCTTGGGTGCATTTTGCTTGTGTAGATAGCAGCTTGTCGGTTTGTTCAGCCATAGGCAAAATCAGCCAGATGGTAGCAATTAATGCCTGTCTTCAGAGGAAGAAGTAGTGTTGTCTCTCTCTTACTCCTGAGAAGAGTAGTTCTTTCTCTGAAATCCGTAATTTACAATTGACATTCTTTTATCATTGAATTGAGTGCTTCTCCATTTCTAGTCCTTTTGAAGAAATGGATATTGCTTCATCTCACTGAAGCTTACTTTTTCCCAACAGTATTTGTCAGCACATTATGTGGTAGCTAATTATGCATCCTTCTTTTAAAAGCGTATAAAGCTGCTCACCAGCATTTGTTTTTAGGGAAACACAAATCAAAACCACAGTGAGATACCATTCACAACCACTAGGATGGCTGTAATAAAAAAGACAGAAACAAACAAAACACAGTAACAAGTGCTGGTGAGGCTGTGGAGAAATCGGAACCCTCATGCATTGCTGGTGAGAATGTAAAATGGTAGAGCTCCTTTAGAAAATGGTTTGGCAGTCCTCAGAAGTTAAACATGGAGTTACCATATGACCCAGCAATTCAAACTCCTAGGTATGATACCCAAGGAAACTGAAAACATATGTCCACACAAAAACTTGTCCATGAATGTTCATGGCAACATTGTTAATACTAGCCCCAAAGTAGAAACTGTTCAGGTACCTATCAACTGATAAATATATAAATAAATGTTGATATATTCATGCAATGGAATGTCATTCAACAATAAAAAAGAAGAAAGCTTTGATACATGTTACATGGTGACTGAAAACATTATGTTAATTGAAAGACGCCAAACACAAAAGGTCACACACATATTGTAGGATTCTATTTATATGACACTTCCAGGATGAGCAAATCCATGAAGGTGGAAGGGAGGTTAGTAGTTCCCAGGGAATAGCATGATGGAGGAGTGGCTGCTAATGGGTACAGGAAATTAGTGTTGATAGGTCCATAACTTTGTGAGTATACTGAAAACCATTGAACTGTGTTCTTTAAAACAGTGAATTTTATGGTTATGTTAATTATATCTCAATTTATAAAGCAACTTTGATAAGACTGTTTTGTATTGTTGGTATATATTAGGCTTCAATCCTTCAGAGACCAAGATTCGAACACCTGATGGGAAAGTGTGGCAGGAGGCTGAATTTCAAAACATGAGTCGAGAACTGTATCGAGACTTAGCACTTCACTTTGCAGGTGAGAGTGGAGCGTTCTTAGATTTTGCATGTTTTATCATGTATGCTATCTGACATCATATTTAAACCTAAAATTGTCACCAAAATAAAGGTATTTCCCTTTTTTAACTGCATGGTATACCAAAGTAGTTGTGGTTTCAGTCATAAGGCTCTCTTAGCGTCTAGGCTCTGCTCCAGGATTAAAATTAGCATACATGGCTGATGAGACAGAAACTAGGTTATTTTTAACCTCAGAGACTCTCTGAGTCAGGCCTGTCTGATTTGAAGGAAACATAGCAGAGTCTAGTTGAAGTTTACTTCTACTAGACTGAGATCTTTGAGATGGTCAGTAATTTGGTAGGCAGCAGATAAGATGATACTACCATGAGGGCAAAATGCAGAAAGAAAAATCAACGTTATAGGAACGGAATACATTTAGAGAATTGGAAATAGGAGGAATTTACGGAAGGTTGAAGAGGGAAATGGGAAGGTGATACTGTAATGTTATGGAATGCTTAGTGCAATTTGGGGTAAGGTGATGCATTCGTAGTCTTCTGTACTTTTGTTTTACAGTTGTGGAAATGGAGGCTTACTGAGTAATTTCCCCCAAGTTTGTATCTATAGATAGAGTAGTTGAGAATGGAAGCCAAAATTCAAAGCCAACTCTGTCTGACTCTACAGCCTGAGATTTTTCTACTAAGCCCCCACAGAGATTTTGCTAATATATTTTGTGGTATTAAGTGTCCAGTCCAGTTTTCCTAGTATTATTATTGGGACAGTGTATTCAGGTTTTTTTTCTTTTTTTCCTGAGATGGAAAAGGAGTATAATGTAATCGTTAAGAGTAAAGATTTTGGAATTAGCTTACAAGGGTTCAAATTCTTGCTCTGCCTCTTATTACTTATGTATATACTACCTGTGTTTTTCTCATCTGTAAAAGAGGGATAATAATAATATACCTCTATAGGTCAGTATCTTTACAGACCAGTAGAATGATGTATGTCAATGAATTCTTTAAGAAGTCTGCCTGGGGGGTGCCTGGGTAGCTCAGTTGGTTGTTATCCAACTCTTGATTTCAGCTCAAGTCATGATCTTGTGGTTTTATGACTTTGAGCCCCATGTCAGGCTCTGTGCTGACCACACGGAGCCTGCTTAGAATTCTCCCTCTCTTTCTGCCCCTACCCTGCTCGTGCTTTCTCTGTCCCTCTCAAAATAAATAAATAAACTTAAAAAAAAAAAAGGGTCTGTCTGTTGGGGTACCTGGGTGGATCAGTTGTTTGAGCGTCCAGCTTTGGCTCAGGTCGTGATCTCAGCGTTTGTAAGTTCAAGCCCCATGTGGGGCTTGCTGCTGTGAGCACAGAGCCCACTTTGGATCCTCTGTCCTCCTCTCTTTCTGCCTCTCCCTCTGCTCATGCTATCTCTCTTAAAACTAAACATTAAAAAAAAAAGTCTGTCTAGTAAGACTGCCTTCTCTTTCATGGTGGTTGAACTCTGTCCATTAGCTTCTAGCTAGGACTGACCCATCTACTTGTGTTTTAGGTTCCATTTACTCTTGTAAAAGTTTAAAGACCTCACTTTGTCCTTATTTCCTTTCTTTGGCATCATCAAATTTTCCCTCTCCTCAAGGTCATGCCCATCAACAGACTGTCTGCTAACGTGCTGTTATCTCAGCCGTCATGAAAGAATTGCTGCTTTTGGCCCTGCTCTCTTCGGTTATTGCCTTGTTTCTCTCCTATTTGTGGCACAACTTCAGAAAGTTGCCTTATACTCATTGTCTCCGGTTTTTCTCCTCCCTTTCACTCTTGAACCCTTTTCTATTTGGGTTTTGCTCCGCCTTCTCTGTGGACTGCTGATGTCAAGGTCATCAGTGACTCCCACATTGCTAAATCCAGTGTTTGATTCTCAGTTGTCATCTTGATCTCCCTGCGACATTAGACATGATAGATTACTTCTTTCTTGAAACGCTTCACTTGACATCTAGGGTTCCTTAAGTGTTTGGTTTTCCTCCTGAGTCTAGCTACTCTTTTTCAGATTTTTTTTTTTTTACCTAATTAACTCCCTGATATCTGAACATAGTCATGCCCAGGGCTCAGTACTTGGGTCTGTCTATCCTTTTTTTTCCCTTTCTTTTCTCTTCTCTTCCTCTCTCTCTCTTTTTTCTTTTTCTTCCCTTACTACTACTGCTACTACTACTGTTTATTTATGTACACTCTAGGCAGGCTCGTCTAGTCTCAGGACTTCAAATATTTTCTGTTGCCGTTGATTCCCAAATTTATGTCTCTGGCCCAGACTTTTCCTCTGCACTCAGACTTGTATCCAACTGCTAACTCTACCTCTCCCTTTGGATATATAATGGATTTCTCAAACTTAATAAATCCAAAATGGAGCTAACTAAATGGGGTCATGATACCCCCTTAAACCTACTCCTTTGGTAGTCCCTCTATTTCTGTTAATTCTATCTTTCTACTTCAGGCCCCAGATCTTGAGTCATCCTTGACTCCTCTATTTCTCTCAGACCTTATGTTTCATGTTGTTCAAAATATATCTAAAATATAACCACTTTCTCCACCTCACCACCTTTCTCCAGAGAAAGAGCAGAGCTCTATATGTATTTTAAAGTTTACATTTCACTACTACCTAGGTCCAAGCCACCATCAGTCTCTTGTGTGGATTATTGCAATAGCCCTCTCATTGGTCTTCCTGCTTCTGCCCTTCTAGTAAGCCTGTTATCATCACAACTGCTAGAGTAAGCTTGTTAAGATTTAGTTTAGATCATATCACTCCTTTGCCCTAAAACTTCCAAAAACCTCTCGATCTCATTCTTAAGTAAAACCTGAAGCTCTTTCAGTGACTCGTAAAGCCCCACACAATCTGGCCCTCAGTTATGTCTCTGACCGTGGTTCTCTCTACTCTGTGTTCATTTCACGGACACTGGCCTGCTTGCTGTTTCTCAGGTATGTTCCTACTTTAGGACCTTTGACTCACACTTCCACTCTGTTCAGAGTGCAGAGCTCTATATGTGTTTTAAAGTTTACATTTCTTCAGATCTGTAATTGAGGTTGATTTTCAAGTTTATATGTGTAGCTAGTCTATTTCCCCAGATTGGAATTTAAAAAAATTAGTGAGTAGTAATTTATATGTGAAATGGCTTGACATATTTCACGAGCATAACCATAAAAGGGTTAATATTTGGGAATATTATTTTATGAAGTTTTATTCTGGAAGTTCATGAATATCTCAGATATGTAGGAATTTTTAAATGAAATAAGAATCTGTGAAAGTACTCACCTGTGAGATTCTATAAATGATCCAACCCTGGCTTGGAAAGCATTACTTTTGTAACTTCTTCCAGTTTGTGAAATTGTGAAAATGAGGAAAATTTTTCGAGGGTTTTCTGGAAAACAACAACAGCAAAACAACACAACAACAAAACAAAGCAAAAATGAAAAACAAAAAATGAAAACTTAGAACTCAAACTGTAGGGGTAGTTAGTGGTAATCTTTAGACCTTTCCATAAGAGGAGTTGGCATTGGTAGCTTATGGGTCACAGAAGTAGCCTCAGTGAAGATTTTTTCCCCCCTACCTGAATCATGCTTTATGCTGATTTTTCTTACTGGGAAGAGGACGAATGGGTGGGTAGGAATCATTATAATGTTTGCTATAAGTGTTTCTGCTTTTCAGATGATATCTCTATGAAAGAGAAACCTGCTGAAAAAAGTAAAGAGAAAAAAGTGGTCAAGCCAGTGCGAAAAGTCCAAAAGGTAACACAGTTATCAAGTCCAGAAGGCAAAACAGGTTGGTTTTCTCAATATCATGCCCATCCCCATTACATAACACTGAAGTGGCATTCTATATGGAAATAAGTGGTTTTTTTTTTTTTAAGTTTATTTATTTTGAGAAAGAGAGAAAGAGCGCATGCATGGGGGAGGGACAGAAAGAGAGGGAGAGAATCCCAAGCAGGCTCCACTGTCAGCAGGAGCCTGACATGGGGCTCGAACTCACGAACTGTGAGATCATTACCTGAGCCAAAATCAAGAGTTGGATGCCTAACTGACTGAGCCACCCAAGTGTGCTGGAAATAAATACTTGTTAACCAGATGTTTTCATTGTTTGGCACATAGAAAAATTCAGTACATTTTATATATCATTATTTTGTATACATGTTTTATTGAGGTATAGTTGATATAGAATAAGCTGTACATATTTAGAATGTTAGTTTGATGAGTTTTCACATATGTATGTACTCATGAAACCTTATGTTCACCATAATAGTAAACATATCTCCCCAGCCCAATTGTTTAATCATTATTTTTAATAGAAATTAACCAGATTACAGGTAATGATTTTTATGTAGTAAACTTTTATATATAAAGGGATTGCCTATGACTGTCACTACATCCCTTCACTTACTCTCAAAAGAGAATAAATGTTGCATGAGAAAAATATAACAGTCCATGCCAATACTGGTCAGGCCAGACTCTAAATAGATCAGGACTGAGAAAAAGAGAATTCCCTAGTTTTGTAGTTATTAACACTTCAGGCCTAGTCTAGGTTGCCTGCATTTATAACCTGTTCTGTTCTGTTATGTCTAGCTTTGTTCTTTTGGTGAGTAAGTTAATTTTAGTGTCCCTTGGTTTCCCCGTATGTAAAATGGGAAAGCAGTAGTATTTTTCTCACAGGGTTGTTGTGAAAACTAAAATAATTAATACCTAAAAGCATTCAGTATGTAGTATTTGGCACATGGTAAGCACTCAAATGTTAGGTATGATTCCATTAATAATAATTATTATTTCTGGTATATTGAAAATGGTTATTTAGCTGTCATATTTATGTTAGTGAGTAATTTGGCCTGAGAGAGTGGAGGAAGTTGAGAATTTGTCACTTTCAGTTTGGAGACATTCAGAATCAATCATTCATTCATTCATTATGCAGATATTTTTGAGCACTTTATACGTGTGATGCCCTGTGCTATACTAAGCTTAGGCAATACAGTGGTAAGCAGGATACACATGGCCCCTACCCTCTTGGAATTTATAATCTGGTCAGGAAAACAGTAGATAGTAGATACACAGTTATAATAGAATGTGACTAATGTATGATAGGGAATTATAGGAACATGGAGCAGGAGTGATGAGGCACTGGTGTTTTTTTTTTTAATATATGTATTTTAAGTTTATTTATTTTAAGAGAGAGAGAGAGAGAACGAATGGAGGAGGAGCAGAGAGAGAGGGAGATAGAATCCCAAGGGGCTCGATGTCACGAACCATGAGATCATGACTTGAGTTGAAATCAAGAGTTGGACGCTCAACCGACTGAGCCACCCAGGTGCCCCAGAGGCACTGGTTTTTAACCAGACACTTGTTTTTCTGATCATAGACTAATCTATGGAATGTGAAGTAACAGATTTTGTGACACCCATTGTTAACCTCTAGATGTCAGAATGACCCTGACTATATACAAATCAAAATTTTATAAGAACGTGAATTATCTGAACACAAACTAAGCTAATTTTTACATTAAAAAATATGTCAAAGTGTTATTTTTATGTGGTATTATGTAATACTCTTGCCAGGGGCATAGTTTGAAATGAAGCACTGGGACCATTGTAACTTGTAAACACTGATCTTGGATTGTGTTTTTCCAGTTTTGTGGTAGACTAATTCCCATGTATGCACTGTGCAGTGACTGACAGAGAATCATTAAATGTGCTAAAGCTGTGTTAATAGTTCATCAATAACTGAAAGTCCCCTTTTACCACCAGCGACTGCAGTGAGACTATTCTAGAAAGCCAGAATTTAGAAATAACCACACAGCATATTCAGAAGCCAACATTTATAAATAACTACCCAGTATATTCATGGTTGCTTGCTTTTGATTCAGAAATCAAGAGAAGCTGAACTCCAAGAGAAGCCTGTTCTTTCATTTTGCCTAAGAACATAGTTTCTTATAAATAGATTGAACAGTAGACTTAAAGCCTTTTAAATATTTTAGATCGCTTAAGGTTAATAACAAGGTGCAAAAGCACTTAAAAAGTAAACACGGATTCATAATTCATGTTTCTTAATACTAGATGTTTTATTAAAACTGCGGTTTAATTGAAACTTTTAAATTGAAGCCTTTTTAAAAGAACTCTAAATTGGATGTCCTTTATTACAAATGCAATAAAATAGCATTACAGAAAGCTTGAAAAATGAAGAAAACAGAAAACCACTACCCTCACTTAAAGTACTAGTGTTTTGTTTATTTCCTTCCAGTAGTTTAAAAATCATAATAGTAGGTGATGTAATCATTGCATACATAACATTTTGTCTTTTTCTCTTAGCATTGTACCACCAGAACTTTTTTCTTATTTCTTATGGAAATTATAATTTGCAATAGCCACACAGTACTCCACCTGTGTTGGTGTATGATGATCTAATTTTAATTTTTTTACAGTCTGAAAGTAGTAAATGAAGAGTTTTTCTCTTAATCAACAGCTGTGTTTATTGGACCATACTTTCACAAACTTTTATAATGAGGGCAGTTTATACTGTTGGCGATGTTTGCTTTTTGAGTGTCATTGTTTTATGCATAGAAAAGTAATGTACAGTTCTGCTATGTATCTATAAAATATAATGTGAAATTCCTTATAATACCATTCCCTTAACAGTAATCACTGGTAACTGTGACATGTTTCTTGGGATTTTTTTCCTACGCTTAGCTGAAATCATTTGTTTATTCAGCAGACATACACTTTACTATGTGCCAGGTACCGTTGGTAAACCAAACACTTACTATACTTAAGATATGTTTTTTGTTGTGTGCCCAAACTGTTGAATTCAGTGCTCTGCTTCTTGAGGATTCAAGAATCATTAATGTTTGGTACTTAACGTCCAAAGCATTTTTTTTTCAATTTTTTTTTAATCTTTATTTATTTTTGAGAGAGAGACAGCGTGTGAGCAGGGGAGTTGCAGAGAGAGAGGGAGACACAGAATCTGAAGCAGGCTCCAGGCTCTGAGCTGTCAGCACAGAGCCTGACGTGGGGCTCGAACTCACAAACTATGAGCTCATGACCTGAGCCGAAGTCGGATACTCAACTGATGGAGAGCCACCCAGGTGCCCCATGTCCATAGCATTTTATACTTATTTGAGATGTGTGAATAAATCAAGATTTAAACAAACTGCTAATTAATTTTGGGGACATTGGGTTAAAAATTAGGTTGTAAACCCTCTGACTTTGGCATAAGATCAGCATAAGATTAATTACAAAACCTGTATGGTTGAGTAGATATACTTGAAGTTTTAAATTCAACCTGGTATGTGTATGTATATATTTTTTTAGGTAGCAGTCGTCTGATAAGTACATCTTCTTGGCGAGATGGACAAAAATTAGTAAAGAAGATTCTGGGGCCTGCACCCAGATTGGAGCAAAAAGAGCGAAGAACAGCATCAAGTGACAGAAGTGGAAGAGAAAGAACTACTAAATCTGGTGAGTAATTAAATTATTAAATTAAATTGTTTCAGTAATTAAAATTGTTGAGAAAAGCAATTAAAGATTGCTTGTATAAGTACGTAGAGAAGGTGAAAGTACTCTTGAGAATGCTTTCGGAATTTGGTTTATAATTGTGAATGTAGCTCAAAAAAGAAGAACTGTTCTATTGGGCTTGTCTGTGGATAATTCCATATATAGATGTTATGATGACTTTTATTAAGGATTCTATTTGTTATGTTAATTACATTTAGCTGCCAGCTGCATAGAAAAGCATCATTTAATTAGGTTTTATTAGACTTTTAGGGACCTTAAGAGACTAAGTCCGATTTGTCTTTCTCTACACAAACGTAGGCAGACATTCATAATATTGGCTTTTTTTATTTGACAGATTAGGAAACAGGCCCTGAGAGAGAAGTGATTTTTTTTCTCAGGGTATATATTCAGTGGGTGGCAAAATTTGATCTAGAATCTAAAACTCTTTGGTTTGACCCTCAAGGCCATTACTTTTCTCTTTGTGAAGTATCTTAAATGCTCTTTGAGATAACTAGTTACTTGTTTCATGAACACTAATTTTGGGAAATGAAATATAAGTTAACTACAGGCCAGCTTTCCTTTTCAGGAACAAAATTTGCTTTAATTAATTTGAGCTTCTGGAATGGATTCAGTAAGAAATGCAATCACAACTATAATTTGGGATATAGAAATCAATATATACTTTGTATTTACTCCTCTTTACTTTCACTAGCTTATAAATAAACTCATATGCATTCTTGGTTTAAAATCAAGCCATGTCAATAAGCATTTAGATTTTAAAATGATTGTTTTTCTATCTATTTAATTTTTTTTCTGTTATTCATTGGAGAGTTGTGGCAGCTAAACATTGTTGGGTTTTGAACTCCTGATTTGATGGTTTGGGGATGGAGAGAGATAGTAATATTAAATATGTACATGGGAGAGAAATAATAATTCTCTATTAATACTTAAATATTCACATCAACAATAGATTTGTCTTTATTTTAGAAATATTAAAAATGCGTTGCTTAAATGCCAAGGAAGTATAGTTGTTGTCTTTTTTTTTTAAGTTTATTTATTTATTTTTGAGAGAGAGAGAGTAAGCAGGGGAGAGGCGGAGAGAGGGAGAGAGAGAGAATCTCAAGCAGGCTCCACACTGTCAGTGCAAAGCCCGACTTGGGGCTTGAATTCACGAACCATGAGGTCATGACCTGAGCTGAAATCACAAGTTGGACACTTAACTGACTGTGCCACCCAGGCACACTGGAAGTCTAGTTTTTTAAAAGATTGAAATTATTCTCCTCTAAAAAAGGTGTTTTTCTTTCCTTCTATTATAGTCTTTAAACAACTTTATCGGATACTTGAATTTGAGTTTAGAATAAAGGAACATTCCCTAATTTTGTCCTTACTGCAATAAATCTTAGGAATGAATTTAGGATTTTCATACATTGCTAACAGTTCATATTTTGCAGGGGGTCATATTGGAAGAGCAGAATCTGATCCTAGATTGGATGTTTCGCATAGACATCTTCCACGAAACTCAGAACGTTCGAGAAGTAGAGCTCGGTCTGAGACTAATACAAAGAAATTAGCTCCATCTCTTCCAGATAATAAACAGGAGGACAATACTGCCTTAAATAAGGACTTTTTACCTCTTGAAATTCGTGGAATTCTTGATGACCTACAGCTGGATTCTACAGTTCAGGCTGCCAGGCAAGAAATAGGAGAGTTACAGAATCCGAAGTCATCAGCACCAGTACAAGCTCCTAGGAGTCACAGCCCAGTAAAAAGAAAACCTGACAAAATAACAGCTAATGAAGATCCCCCTGTTATTTCCAAAAAGCGCCACTATGACACAGATGAGGTACGGCAGTACATTGTTAGACAGCAGGAGGAAAGGAAGAGGAAGCAAAATGAAGAGAAGAAGGCTCAAAAGGAGGCCACCGAGCAAAAGAACAAACGATTACAGGAGCTCTATCGGAAACAGAAAGAAGCCTTTACTAAAGTCAAAAATGTGCCTCCTTCTGAGCCATCAGTAACCAGGCGACTGCAGGAAACTTACTCCAAATTGCTACTAGAAAAGACCTTGCTTGAAGAGCCGCCTCACCAACATGTCACACAGGAAACGCAGGTAATAGTAGTGTCAGAAATACAAAGGGAAGTAAGTCATGATTGGAAAAACCTTATTCACCACTTTGTTGCCATCATTTCGAATATTCAGACAGACGCCCAGACGGTATTTAATAATGATGATCTTTTCATGAAACTTATTGTGTGTGAAGAGTGATTTGATAAATATGATTAGAAAGAAGTGCTCAGTTTAGCATTTCCTAGAGTGAGTGTTCCTGATCTCTGTTCAGCTCGTCATTGTTGTTAGTTCCATCCTTGCCTAGTTTTCACTGTGTTACTGAGCATAAAGTTAGATGATGTTCATAAAAGCCTAGTTTTGTGATCTGTGCGGAACCTAGAGAATATCCTATTGTATGTGATGATTTTACGAGTATTGCTCTTGTTTTAAGAATAACATTCAGTACGTGCCATGTACCTACCACAGACTGTGTTAAAGGCTTTATAGGGTAAAGCTTCACTAAATCCTCACAACTCTGAGAAGGTAAGTACTATTACTATTTCTAGACAAAAAAACTGAGGTTTAGGAAGGGTATTATTTCCTTCAAATTACACAGTTAATATTAGGTGCCCTTCTTGGATTTCAGATGCAATTTTGCTGTTAATTGTAATGGCTGCTTTTTAAGACAAACTGAATTTGGATTGGTTTTATTTTAGGAGAAAAAAGCCCTCACATTTCATGAATCTTTGTAAATTGAAGTGAATTAATATTAGTCTTATGTATTCCCTGAATATATCTTTGGGATGGGGGTCAGATGAATTTGCTGTCCTTTTCTCCTAGACCAGACCAGGGTATCAACCTTCTGGAGAATCTGACAAAGAAAACAAAGTCCAGGAACGTCCCCTAAGTGCATCTTCCAGTAGTGACATGTCTCTGTCAGAACCTCCACAGCCTCTTGCAAGGTAAAAAGGGGAGAATGAAGTACGATTAAGATTCTTTCCATGAAATTTAGTATAGTGGCCTAAGCTCAGTGAATTCTGTTGACTGACCTTCCTGTGTGAGCAAGAAGTTTATTTAGAAATTGGTTAGTATCTTCTGGTGGATACTTCAGCATGGTGTACATCTGTACTTGCTGCATACCCGATTCTGTTGTTCACTTTTACCTGTCCTTTAATATCCAACCGAAATGTCAGTTTCTCCCAGGGATCCTGCGATTGGAAGCACTCTTGCTTTCTCTGAACTAAACACGCAATAAACGTTTGCTGGATGAATGAATCACAGTGAAGTTAATATTTTAAAGGATTTGTGGTGAATAATTTTCAAAAGGCACATCTGTGTCCATTACTATTCAGAATTTCTTTAGATGACTCATTCCATTTTATCCATCATCCCTTTCAAAAGTTGTATTTAGGTATGCATATGAACACGTGAACAAGGGCTGGATTGCTGATCAAGGGCTATTTTACTTGTTTACTTAAAATTTTTTTTGTTGCTGTAATACATTGTTTGCAATGAAGTAAAAAAAAAAGTATGCATGGAATTTGAGGGGATTTTGAGTTCATATGGTTTTAAACAATTTAAAGTAACCATTTTGAGAAGAGAAGCGTTTGGAACTCTTCTGTGAGAATGCACAAATAAAGATCAAATCACATCCCAATTTGGGTCAGTATACATGTTTCACCCCATTGCCCCCCCAAAGAATAAAAATGCTGATAAGAATAGCTAACATTTATTGAGTACTTGTTAGTTTCCAGGCACTGATCTACATACTTTGCATATATTAGCTTATTTCTTCTTGTAATTCCTTGAGTTGGGCATTATTGTTATTCCCATTTTACGGAAGAGCTAATTGAGGCCTAGAATTTAATTAATTTTCTCCAAGATCAAAACATAGTGGTGGAGAGGGATTTGAACTTCAGTCTGATTCCAGAAACTCTGTGCTTTTAGCCACTCTACACACTGCCTCCCAATAAGTTTCATATGATTTATTTAAAGTTGTAAATAACCTTTCAAATTTCAAGCATAAATAAACTTTAAAGTTTTTTTTTTTTTTTGAATTTGAATACCTTCAGTAGGTGTACTCTTCAGTTCATCTCAGCCCCATTATTATTGTCAGACATAGTCTTCTGGCTTCATGTCTCCTGTTTTACCTTTCCTGAGTTTCCTTCTAACTCTAAACAAGTTAGCCAGTATTAAAAACAAATCAAACGTAAACAGATCGATTATTGTTAGCTTGCACATGTTCCTTTCCTTTTTTTTTTTTTTTTAAGGTTTATTTATTTTGAGAGAGAGCTAGTGTGCACGAGCAGGGGAGGGGCAGAGAGAGAAGAGAGGCTGTACTGTCAGTGCAGAGCCTGACGTGGGGCTCGATCCCACGAACTGTGAGATTGTGACCTGAGTTGAAGTCAAGAGTTGGATGCCTAACCAGCTGAGCCACCCAGGCACCCCTTTCCTTTTTTTTAATATCAAATTTCTTCACCTTGAGATATGTAATCTTTTGCCTCCACCATCCCTCTACCCATTTCTTAGGTTCACTATTTCTGTTAGTAGTCTCACCATATCTCAGTTACTTTATGCTTGGAAGCATGGCATTACTTTTCCATGCCCTTTTTGCCCCATGTTCTTCATTAGCTACGTGGAAAACTCCAAATTACGTACCTGACCCTGAAGACCTTGAAGATCTAGCTCAAAAGTCACTTCCCTTGGCTAGCAGAGTTTATTGTTTTCTCTCCACACTCTATTGAACTTTTTATGTCTTTATATTAGTACTTATGACATTGTAGTTTAGCCATTTATTAGTGTCTCATCCCTGCTAGATCTTAGAAACTAAAGAGTAAGGATTTAGTCTTAACTGGATTAAGTCTTTCCATTTTTGTCTCCCCTGTGCCTCTATCATCAACATAGTGCCTGGCACATAATTGGCATTGAAATACTTGAATTTAAAGATCTTGGATTTTTACTTAGCAATATCTTTTATGTTTATAACTTCATTTTTTTGGTTGTTCATTTGTTTTTAAAGTTTATTCATTTTTTTTTTTTCAAAGTTTATTTATTTTTGGGACAGAGAGAGACAGAGCATGAACGGGGGAGGGGCAGAGAGAGAGGGAGACACAGAATCGGAAACAGGCTCCAGGCTCTGAGCCATCAGCCCAGAGCCTGACGCGGGGCTCGAACTCACGGACCGCGAGATCGTGACCTGGTTGAAGTCGGACGCTTAACCGACTGCGCCACCCAGGCGCCCCTAAAGTTTATTCATTTATATTGAGAGAGAGACTGACAGAGAGAGGGAGGGAGGGAATCCCAAGCAGGCTCCTCCCTATCAGTACAGATCCCAATGTGGGGCTCAAACTCATGAACTGTGAGATCATAACCTGAGCTGAAATCAAGAGTCAGATGCTTAACTGACTGAGCCACCCAGGTGCCCCTATAACCTCCTTTGTATTCACATTACTGCCAGCTTAGTTTGAGGCCTAATAACCAACCGCACACTTCATATTTTGTGGCATAGAATCTATGCATGAGTCTTCCTTCATTCCCTTTTTATAGCAGCCCTTTAACACCAAAGATTGCTATTATACAACCTCTAACTAAACCTTGCGTGACATGCTTTCCATGCTTTTCAGTTCTCTTTTCACTCTGCTTCCCCTCCTCCAGGTAATTCTTTTGTATTTATTTTGTAAGGCTTCCCATTTCTCCATACTAGTTTGGTTGCAGCCTGTCCAGATAACTTTGAATCATAATTTGATTTGTTGGGTTAGCCATGCATCCTAGCTTTCTGTCACCTGTGAATTTTATAAGAATATCTTTATGTCATCATCTAAAAATAATGGACAAGACCAAGGACAAAACTTCAAGTTATTTTTTTATAAGCATCTTCTTAATAGTTCACATTGAGCTTTAATTGTTTTTTATAATATCTCTAAATATACAGAATGTCCATGGTCTGGAAATGTAGGTGAATTATATAATGTCATCTAGGACATCTTTGTTTGGTTTCTCTATTTTATGGACAACCTTCTCTGTATTGTATATTCATAATGGGTATTCATAGTTTTGCATTGGTATTCATGGTTTGATGTTCATTAATTTTTTTTTTTTTTTAGAATGAAATTATAAGGGTGCCTGGCTGGCTCAGTTGGTGGAGAGTGTGACTCTTGATCTTGGGGTCATGAGTTCTAGCCCTATGATGTAGAGATTGCTTAAAAATAAAATCTTGAAAAAAAAAGACATCGTAATAATCTCCTTATTTCTTCAGTATGTACAATGTTAAACGTAAACATTTATTAAATATTTGTTGATTAGAATAATGACTCATGCCTATGTTAGTAGTTAGCAACCTTAAGCATTTCTCTTTTATATAACATTATTTTTACATTTTTTTTTTTTTTAATGTTTATTTATTTTTGAGAGAGACAAAGACAGAATGTGAGTGGGTTAGGGGCAGAGAGAGACACACACACACAGAGTCCCAAGCAGGCTCCAGGCTCTGAGCTGTCAGAACAGAGCCCGACGCGGGGCTCGAACTCACGAGCCGTGAGATCATGACCTGAGCCGGGACGCTCAACTGACTGAGCCACCCAGGCGCCCCATATATAACATTATTTTTAAAGGAAGGGGTAGAGCCAATGTTGTAAAGAATTTTGTTCACAGAGTTTTAAAGGTTATAAAGCCTTCTCTTTAATTAATAGTTTAAGAAATATGTCTTAGTTGAAGAAAGCAGTTTGCATGATGACATTCCATTTTTATGAAAATAACAATGCCAGAACACAACACACACATAGAAAAATGTTTGGAAAAGATATAATTCTAAATGAAATATTAATAGTGCCTATTTCTCATTGTTTAGCTATGAGAGATCGCTGTCTTTTTTATCCTCTTTGCCTGTCCTTTTTTTTTTGGTGGTGAGTATGTGTTACTCTTACGAGAAAAAAAAAAGAAGTTAAAAAAACTGGTGGCTTAGTCATGAGTTACTGTCTTAACTAACATACTGTGACTTTCATTTCTAGAAAGGACCTGATGGAACCTACTTGGATGCAGCCTGACAGATTGAGCCCACGAGTCCACAATTCTCAACCACAGCCTCTTGCTGGAACAGCTGGAAATTTACTCTCCCATCTCTTGAGTCTAGAGCATGTAGGAATTTTGAATAAGGATTTTGAATCTATTTTACCACCCAGGAAGAATCATAATATGGCCTCAGGGCCATTAACTTTTACACCTCAACCATATCTGACCTCACCAGCTGCTCATCCAGATGCCTTGTTAAAACCTAGTGCCAGCCAGTATAAAAGTAAACTGGATCGTATTGAAGCCTTGAAAGCAACAGCTGCTTCTCTGTCCAGCAGGATTGAAAGTGAAGCCAAGAAATTAGCTGGGGCTAACATTAACTATGGGTCAGTATGGAGCACTGAGTATGATGTACAGCGAACACCCCAAGAGGATGGATCTTGGACGAAGGCTCCAAGTCCACCTATGAAAGAGGATACTGAAGATGTTTTCTCTGCCCGAATTCAAAAGATGATGGGAACCTGTGTATCTCATGCAACTTTTGATGACGATCTTCCTGGTGTAGGCAACCTTAGTGAATTTAAAAAGCTTCCTGAGATGATAAGACCTCACAGCGCCATATCAAGGTTTAGAATGCGATCCCCCGGTCCCAAACCAGAAGGGCTGCTGGCACAATTGTGTAAGAGGCAGACTGACTCTTCTAGCTCTGATATGCAAGCTTGTTCTCAAGATAAAGCCAAATTGTCTCTTGGCTCCAGCACAGATTCAGTCAGTGAAGGGCCTCTTCTTAGTGAAGGGAGTCTCTCTGAAGAAGAGGGAGGCCATGATGGACAGCCCCCATTGAAGGTAGCAGAAATCTTAAAGGAAAAGGAATTTTGTGCTGGTGAAAGAAATGGTTATGAACCCATCAAAGAATTTCAGAAGGAAGCTGAAAAATTCTTGCCACTTTTTGGGCACATAGGTGGTACACAAAGCAAAGGACCATGGGAAGAATTGGCAAAGGGAAGTCCACATAGTGTCATTAATATTTTTACAAAATCCTATCAGTTGTATGGAAAAGGTGAGAAAAATAACTAAGCCTTGTGCTATTTGTATGTTAAGATAAATCATTTAATAATTCTGTACAAGATAATACTTAAGTACAAATTTTCATTATTCATTATGAGGATAGTGGGGACTTATTGTCTAAATTAGTCTAAGTTAATCTAAATTATCTGCAAGCTTCCACTAGAGTATTACAATTTAATCTTTAAAATTTCATTTTTTAGTTGTTACTGTCATGAACCATAGTTGATAGGTAGTTGTAGAAATTTTGGTCTACTTCATAGGTGGTGTTTAGGATAGGTATGTATATATAATATACACTAGGTTTTCTGTGACCATGGGTATGTATTTAGATAGAAAATAACTGTATTTCCTAATATAGTGATTGGTGAGTCATTGGGAATATAGTGGTCAAGAACTGACGGGCAACTGTAGTAACATTTCTAATATGGAAACTACTACTGCTTGTTAAACCTAATTTTAAAAATATTCAGACTTGGAACAGTAATGTAGCTATATATTGGGGTTGTGAAACAATTAACTTCTAAAGTTTCTTTCTTCTCCCTGATAGACTCAATCCTTCAAATCCCTTTCTCTGTTCTTCTACTGTAGGTGGATGCTACTCATTTTATGCTAACATAACCTTAGAGTTTCCAGTTCAGAGAATGAGGCTGAGCCTTAAGTCAGCTATTGATATCTGTGGGTTTTTTATTTCTATTCTACACAGTGAGCAACTTATTTGATAAGTGAATTGATTTCATGTGTTCATTTAGGTTTAACTGGGTATTGCAGTGCATTTTTCTAGAATTCGTATTTAGCTACTTTGTTTTGATCTTGTGCAGACCTATTACATGCTGTTGGTCTCTTTTGTTTAACACTTATTTCTGTATTAACACTATTTCTATATGGGGTATTTTTAAAGTATTTTTGATGAAAGCAAAATGCTTTTTATTTTTTAATTTTTAAAAAATTTATTTATGTATTTATTGGGGGGGGTGGGGCAGAGTGTGAGTTGGGGAGGGACAGAGAGAGAGGGAGACACAGAATCTGAAGCAGGCTCTAGGCTCTGAGTTATCAGCACAGAGCCCGACACGGGGCTCGAACCCACGAACTGTGAGATCATGACCTGAGTTGAAGTCAGATGCTCAAGCGACTGAGCCCCCCACGTACCCCTCAAAATGCTTTTTAAACAATACCCGCATTTTTTTGTAAGAAAATTGTGTTTTTTCTTAAATCCTTTTAGATTTTCATTAAGATTTTATAGTTAAACTGAAATACTTAGAGTTGAAATGATATCTTACTTAGGATTTGCTTCCAAATAGTCTGGGGAAGGGAGTGAGAAATGAAGGGAATAGGAAGTAATTCTTGAAGCTGCGTGATGGATTCCTTGGTTTCATTATGCTATTTTCTCTACTCGTATGTTGGCAAATTTCATTAATAAAATGTTTAAAATGTATTGTTAGATATAAAGATAAATTGAAAAGAAGCACTAATAAAAGCAAACTAAAACGTTCCCTAAATCCATATTGTTAATCCCCATCTTGTGGAATGCTTTGCTCGTAGTTGTTTTGTTTTTGTTTTAAAGCATATTTCAACTACTACTTTTGGCAGGGTTTGAAGACAGGTTGGAAAGAGGAACCTCAGCCTCGCGGCCTTTAAATGCCGTCACGACCCCTGTGAGCAGTGTTTCATATGAAGATGACTTTGTCTCCTCTCCAGGGAGTGGGACTTTGACAGAAAGAAAATCAGCTCTTGAACCTAAGTAAGAAAATGTTGACATATGGACTAAAATCCAAAGAGTGAGAAAACTTTACAAATGAGAACTGTGGTGTGACTCTTACTTTCCTTTGTTTGAAGACACAGTGTAGAGGCTGCATAGCATAGTACTTATTAAGAGCATGGGCTCTGGATCCAGACTGTCTGGGTTGAAATCCTGGCTCTCCTGATATTAGTTGTTTGTCTTCAGGCATACTGTTTAACCCTCTCTGCTTCGGTTTCCTTCTCTGTAAAATAGGGAAAATAAATCGTTCCTTCCTCATAGCATGTTATGAATATTCAGTGAAATAAAAAGTACTTAGAACACAGCCTGGCACATAGTAAGCAGAATGTAAGTTGTTAAATCAATCTGCGAACCCCTGGTAGAGGAGGATGTTGGGAAACTGTCCCATGGTGTACTAATGTAAGGGGATTAAGAAATGGTTTTCTGTGATAGAATTGAGGATGACCCGTTAGATCCTTGACTCCATGATCCCAAGTAAATCAGTATTTATTTTTTCCTAATTGGGAGAACGTCTAAACTCTTGCAAGCCTTTGAAAAATTATATTAATCATATTAATATAGTATTAATTATTAACCAATTAATTAAATCAATTCTTAATTGATACAATAGATACTACAGTATATACTATATTATAATATAGTATAAAACTATACTATAAAGTTATAATGTTAATATTTATTAGACACAATGTACAAGGCACTGAGAGGACTGAGGGGACTTTGCTTGTATTAACTCATTCTTACAATAGCCTGATGTCGTAAGTATTATTGCTACTATTCCTGCTATAGAGAGAAAACTGAAGCATCCAGGTTATGTTACTTGTACACAGTCCTATAGTGAGTGAATCAGACTTTGCCAGGGAGAATTTCCTTCCTAAATCTTGCTACCATGTAAAGTAGTCTGTAATTACTCACATTCAATACCATTTTCTTCACAAATTACATATTGTAATCCACATAAAATTATTGGATGATGTTTTGAAAATTAGTTCTATCTGGTTAGACTAATGAAAATAAGTATTATTAAAATTTTTTTTTTTTTTTAATTTTTTTTTTTCAACGTTTATTTATTTTTGGGACAGAGAGAGACAGAGCATGAATGGGGGAGGGGCAGAGAGAGAGGGAGACACAGAATCGGAAACAGGCTCCAGGCTCTGAGCCATCAGCCCAGAGCCTGACGCGGGGCTCGAACTCACGGACCGCGAGATCGTGACCTGGCTGAAGTCGGACGCTTAACCGACTGCGCCACCCAGGCGCCCCAGTATTATTAAAATTAAAGTGGGCAAAGTCTAGTTTTAAATTTTGAACTCTAAAGAAAAGATTAAATTACTTTTAAAGTTTATTTACTTAGAGAAAGAGAGCACATGCGAGTGGGGGAAGGACAAAGAGAGGGAGAGAGAATCCCACGCAGGCTCCATGCTGTCAGTGGGGAACCCAGTGCGAGACTCGATCCCACAAACCATGAGATCATGACCTAAGCCAAAACGAAGAGTTGGACGCTCAACTGACTGAGCCAGCTAGGCACCCCTGTATTTTTACTTTTAAGTGTCTGAATTATCCATTTTTATTGGTTTCACTTCAGTAGATAACTCCCTTAGATTTTTTTCAGTAATAAGTTAAGCCACAGGGAACAATCTAAACTTATGGTAGTAAGAAGCCAAAACAGGAAAGTGGAAGGTTATCTTTGATTATGGTTATATTCTCCTTGTGATTAATAGATTTTAAAATATCTACAGTTTTAGTGGTTTTAGGGTTTTTTAGTCATTCTTTAACCACTATCGCTTGTTCTTTGGCAGTATCGCAGCTGGCAGTGTGGGCCTTCAAGAGGACCATTGTAGCAGAAAATCTGCCTATGACCTGTCCTCTGTGGACATTACCTCCCAGCGCTCGTCAGGGGCCCAGTCTGCTGCATCATCTCGCTCATCTGCGTCTTCTAAAGGGAAGAAAGGAAAAAAAGAATGTAAGTGGAATTCTACATGGTAATGTTTTCTCTTACCAGTCATTTTGTGGTAGCGATCTAAAGGTATAATTTAATTCCATAAGAAGTTAGATGCATTTCTTTGTGATAAAACATAATTAGTTTTCATATTTTTTTGTCATTACAACAATGCCTTTTGATATATAACATTATAAATCCTTTGTTTAATACAAAAGGAATACATTTGCAATGATAAAAAATCAAGGATTATAGATGGATGAATAGTTGTAAAAGAAGTTAAGATTTTTAGTAAGATTCCTTCCAGACAATTTGTAGGCATATGTAAATAGGAGATGTTACATATATGGGATCACATTTTTTTTACATGCTGTTTTGTTCTGTCAGTGGGTTACAGATACCTTTCTCTGTCAGTTAATATGGATCACCCTTTGTAATGATTATCTAATGTTTTATTGTTTTAATATGTTGTAATTTATTTAGCAGATTCCCTGTTCCTGGACATTTAGGTTATTCTCTATTTCTTTTTTCCATTATGAACACTGCTGCATTGAATATCCTTATAAATGTATTTTTATGCATTAATCTGGTTCTTTCCCGTAAGGTAAAATCCTAGAAGTGAGGTAATGGGGCAAGAAGTATGTCATGTTTAGAACTTGGATATATTTTGTGGCGCCTGGGTGGCTCAGTTGGTTTAGTGTCCAACTCTTGGTCTCTGTTCAGGTCATGATCTCAGAGTTTCTGAGTTTGAGCCCTGCATCAGGCTTTTGCACTGACATTGCAGAGCCTGCTTGAGATTCTGTCTCTCCCTCTCTCTGCCCTTCGCTTGCTTTTGCACTCTCTCTCTCTCTTTCTCTCTCTCTCTGTCTCTCCAAAAATAAATAAACTTAAAAAAAAAAAGGAATTTGGATACATTTTGCCAAATAGCCCTTCAGAAAGTTAATGCCACTTTATACCCCTAATGTGAGAGCGCTAGGAGAAATTATTTCTTAATCATTAACCTAGCATAACTCTCTTATAGATTGTTCTGAAAGTTTTTGGTGGGAACATTAGACATCATTTTACCAACACTTGCCAGTGTCTGTCTTTTCTTATGAAATACTGATGCAGTCGGATAGGCTGCTTCAGAAGTGTTCTGATATAAAAGAGCTCCATGGTTCCATAAATTTGGGAATGCTTTTAGAGTGAAGTAAGCTTCTTTCCTACAGGATTTATCAACACATTTAATGTGCTAACATGCGCTATTTATTTTAGGATGAGGCTTGAGGCAGCAGTATGAAGTATTTTCCAAATTTATTTGTTCACAGAATCGTTTCTTCCGTCAACATGTTAGGTCATTTGGATTCAGCTGGACACATTTTGGGATGTGCTGAACTTGCTCAGTTCTTTTATTTTGCAATTGTTTTGTTTTGTTTTTGTTTTTATTTGAGAGAGAACATGCATGTGCATGCTTGTGCGGGAGAGGGGCGGAAGGAGACGGAGAGAGAAAGTATCTTGAGTAGGCTCTATGCCCAGCACAGAGCCTGACACCACAGAGCCCGATGTGGGGCTTGATTTCATGACCATGAGATCAAGACCTGAGCCAAAATTAAGAGTTGGACAAATAACTGACTGAGCCACACAGGCGCTCCTGCTTTCTTAGTGTCTCACCTAAGGTTACTAGCTAGTTGTTGGTAAAGCCTGGATAATGACTTCTCACTCCCAAATCCACCTTACCTTCTACTATAATGTACTATACAACTTAAAATGATCTAAAATATAATTAGATGAAATATAGGTAGTGTTTTGTGGAATTCATTTACCCCGATCCCCTTACAATGCCTTTAAAAAAAAGCAAACCCTATATAATGTACTTTATACTGCATCATGTAAAACTTAGTTTCTCCTGAATACCCAAGTTCTAAAATCAGTGTAATTTTTGTTGTATATGCTCCATCTAGTGGTGAAAAAGAGTGTCTGCCTGCTCATACAAAAATAATCTCAATAATGGTTGAAAGTCCTCGGTAGATTAAAGTGATAATCATAAGAAAATATTTTTATCTTAATTTAACTTTAAAATATATAAATATACTCTCATTTGGCAATCTTTTAAAGTAGGGACAAATATTTTCTGTGTATATGGGCTGGAGTTTAGATCTTTCTTGCAAAGACTGTTGTATACAGTTTCTAGTTGGTTGAAATCAAGAGCAATTTTTAAATCGTGTGGTTTTTTCAAAGAATAAAGAATTAAATTAATGAATAAAGATTAATGAATGAATTAAATTATAATTAAATTTATAAATTTAAATGAAAAGAGAAATTCATTTTTATTATGGAAAAATTAGAGATACCCAGTATAGCAGCTTGCTTTTAGCCTAGGGATCATAAATAGGTTTTAGATTATAGAGTCCATTCTGATTGATAATTCCTTAGATCATTTGTGTGTTTTTAGCCCCCCCCTTGTGATAATGTGATCAGCATATCTAATTCATGGTACACATCTTTACATAGCATCCTAGAATGAATTACCACAAATGAGGTGAAATTTTGGAGTCAAATGGGAACAAAAATTATTTTTATGCATTTTTAAGTTGTCCTCCAGAAAGGATGTATCAGTTTGCACTCCCATGAAAACAATGAGTATCTTTTTCTGTATGTACTGAATAATACTTGGGGCTTATAAATATTTGCTAATCTAATAATGAAGAAATGGCATCTTATTTGAGGTGGTTTGCATTTCTTTGATTGCTTGTTGGGCTTAATGCTTTTCATATGCTATGGTTGTTTTCACTTTTTATTTGTTTATTTATGTATTTATGTAATTAATTAATTAATTAATTAATGTTTATTTTTGAGAGAGAGAGAGAGAGAGACAGAGCACAAGCAGGGTAGGGGCAGAGAGAGAGGGAGACCCAGAATCTGAAGAAAGCTCCAGGCTCTGAGCTGTCAACACAGGGCCTGATGTGGGGCTCAAACTCATGAAGCTTGAGATCATGACCAGAGCCGAAGTCAAGACACTTAACCAGCTGAACCACCCGGGTGCCCCTCATTTTTCCCCTTATTCCCCCCCACCCTTTCTTTAATGTTTATTTATTTTTCAGAGAAAGAGAGTGCAGCAGGGGAAGGGGGAGAGAGAGAGAGAGACAGAATCCGAAGAAGCAGGCTCTAGGCTCTGAGCTGTCAGCACAGGGCCTGATGCAGGGCTCAAACTCATGAACTGTGAGATCATGACCGGAGCCAAAGTCAGATGGTTAACCGACTGAGCCACCCAGGCGCCCCATTTCCCTGCTTTTTTAAATGTAACAAATACTTCTCCATGTTGCTGTTGATACACACATCACATGCACTGGACTTAAAGTCATGAGGCCTGTGTTTATGTCCTATTTCTGGTCTTTGATCATGTATCCTCCGGCAAGTTATTTAGCTTCACAGATTTCTAGTTACCTCGTTAGTAAGTTGAGCAGATGGTATTCAGTTCATAACATGTTTACAAGAGCGATAAAGTAACATATGGGGAATGCATTTTAAATTACAAAGTGTTATTTAAATGTTCAAGTTACTATTATCTATGTAATTTAGACAACTCTGCAGTTGTTGGAGGTTTAGGTTGAAATTTAAAAAATTTTAAAGTTGTACATTGAATATCATGCATAATTTGTGTTTATTTCAATAATCTATTTAAGATACTCCTAGAAGTAAGATTATTCTGAGTTAGAAAATAAGACCGGTTTTATGAATCTGGTCTGTGGTTCTTGTCGTAAATTCTTCAAAATGGTTGTGTAGTTCAGTGGCATTTGATACCATTTTTCTCCCACTCCTGGGTTTTATCCTTGAAAAACTTCTTCTTGGTTACTTTTTCATAGAGATAGGGTAGTACTTCATTCTTGCTTAATACGCTTGTCTTTTTTTGCCATTTGGTTTAAGAACAATTTATTTTTTAACAGCAAGTGGAGGATATTAATGGAAGAAACTTCAGTCTCCTTAAATGGAAGCAGAAGGATGGACTACTTTATTTTATATGTGAAAAATAACTTTTATTTTTTTATTTTTATTATTTTTTTATTTTTTTAACGTTTTTTATTTATTTTTGAGACAGAGAGAGACAGAACATGAACGGGGGAGGGGCAGAGAGAGAGGGAGACACAGAATTGGAAGCAGGCTCCGGAAGCAGGCTCCGGGCTCTGAGCCATCAGCCCAGAGCCCGACGCGGGGCTCGAACTCACGGACCGCGAGATCGTGACCTGAGCCGAAGTCGGCCGCCCAACCGACTGAGCCACCCAGGCGCCCCGAGAAATAACTTTTAAAAATAAGCCACTTTTTAAATACTCTGACCTGTACATTTTATTACTTTGTTGAAATCGAGGTATCAGTTACTTCTCAGGAGCTTCTAACATTGGGAATCAGCTTTATAAGAAATTTGCTTTACAGGGCTGGATTCACTCACTGGAAATGTTCAGAACTCACTTCTTGATGAGGAGAAAGTACACTCCGGCTCAGAACGTGGCTCTCATCAAGGAAAGAAATCTGGGACCAGTAGCAAAGTTTCTGTTAAAGACTTTGAGCAGACTCTTGACACTGATAGCGTTTTAGAGGATCTTTCTGGGCATTCTGTGAGGTAAAGTAATATGTATTTTATCCTGTAATTCATATTTAATTAAAGTTACAATATCTTTGATGTTCAGAGAATCCATTCAATAAATTGCTGTATTTTCTGAATAGCCTTTGTGGTTTGGTTCATAGTTTGAGTCTTTATATTTTAATATATGGTCATCTCTCACCTAAACTATTATAGCCTCTCTTGGGAGTATTCTTCCTGTAGCACAATCCACCTTTCTATTCTAAATGCCATTGCCACAGTTGTTATGTTGACTCATCCTTTGACCAAGCAATTGCCCTCCTTAGGGTACTCTGCGAGCTCACAGCTACTCTGCAGATGAACTCCCAAGAACTTAACTTTACTTGAAGTGTTTCACTAGGCTGTCACAAACTATCTCATTCCCTTGGTCCATACAATTTTCTCATCTGTGTTCTTCCACTCTTTTAACACAACTACTTAGCATCCTTTTGTCTCATTGTTTATTTCTTCCTCAAACTTTTCTCTCCTGTTCAACTTACTTGATAACTCAAGCAGATTTTGACATCTCACTCTTCTATTGATTACAGGGCTTACATACTCTTTTTTTCTTCTTTTTAATATTCTATAGTATACATTTAACCTGTTGCTTACAAATGACCTTCAGTTATTTCTTCATGTACAGTTTCTATTCCTTTGCCCACATGGCTTTTCTTTTCTTTTTTTAATTTTTTTTCGAGAGAAAGAGTGGAAACGTGGACATGTGTGAGCAGGGGAAGGGCAGAGGGAGAGGGAATCTTTTTTTTTTTTTTTTACTCTTAAAAAAAATTTTTTTTTTAACGTTTCTTAAGAGACAGAACAGAGTATGGGCAGGGGAGGAGCAGAGAGGGGACACAGATAACGTGGCGCTCCAGGCCTACTACAGCACAGAACTAATGTGGGGCTTTCGAACCCTACACCGTGGAGATCATGACTGATGGCAAGTCAGATGCTTAACTGACTGAGCCACCCAGGCGCCCCAAGAATGTGGAATCTGAAACAGACTCCACACTCAGCGTGGAGCCTGGCACTGGGCTCAATCTCACAACTCTGAGATCATGACCTGAGCTGAAATCAAGAATCCACACTCAACCAACTGAGCCACCCAGGTGCCCCTGTTCACATGGCTTTCTTATCTATTGCACTGATTTTGTCCTTCTGGAAATTTAAACTAACTGTATGCTTTTTCTAGTACAGTAGTGCAGTGTCACATACAGATAATCATTTTTAATGCTTTCGTGCTGCATATCTTATATTGTTAATACCATCATTGCTGTATTTAAAATAGAATTTTAATTTCTTTTTCATTGATTTTGGAATTCAGAAAACTACCTTTCTTTAGAGATATTCTGATGATTTATTTACCAAAATCTGTAAAGTTAAACATTTCTGAAACAGAATCCATAGCCAAATAAGTTTGATAAATGGTCCATACCATAGACTAGAACTCTTCTCCCCATGGAGATTCACAGTGGATAAAATGATTTGAAGCTTTGATGAAGAGTCCAGATTTTTAAAAAATGTTTATTTATTTTTGAGAGAGATAATGGGAGCAGGAGAGGTGCAGAGAGAGAGGGGGACAGAGGATCTGAAGTGGGCTCTGTGCTGACAGCAGAGAGCCTTATGCGGGGCTCTAACTCAGGAACCGTGAGATTACGACCTGAGCCAAAGTCAGACGCTCAACCAACTGAGTCACCCAGGCACCCCAGAAGTGTCAGATTTTTAAAAAATTATTTCACCCATTTTTTTCTTAGCTCATTTGGCTTAGTCACTCTCTGTCCCCAGCTCTTTAGCTTTCTGTTCTTTTTATTTGGGGAAACTTGTTAGTATCGCTGGAACCATAGTTTTGGAAATACTAGTCTAGGTAAATCTTCTGGGCAGAGCAATAAAAATTCAGCTTATAAAACTGTAAGGTGAGGTTCAGGCAGAGTACTTGGTTTTGATATTGTGTTGTAATTCGTTCTTGGAAATCTATTAGACAGAAGTAATAAAATTCTTTTTATGTTCCATAAATGAAGTTGTCAGACTATTAGAAATAGTATTTCTATAAACCATGAATAGTAAATTAAAGGTCACGGTAAACAAGCGAGTGCCTCTTAAGACTACTTTAATTCAAATATTTATATGCTGGGTGTAGGAGAAATGTCTACCTTTGAAAACTATCTCCTGGTTTTATTAAAGCTAAAAGTAAACTTGTTTTACTGTGTTAGAAATATGTTAACTGGGCTAACATGCTTTATGGAGTACCTTAAGTAATTTATTCAATAAATAAATGTTTAGTGCTTGACAACATCTTCTTGTTATGAGAAATAGTAACTTTAATATGAGCCAGATTTCTCAGAGAGGGACTAGACCTGTGCCTTCTGTTGAAATAAATACCTTAAGAGTTATTCCAGTCAGACTGCTTCTGAGGGATTACTTCATATTAGAAAGTTCAGGAAAGAACCGTAGCATTAAAAGGCGGATGGAAACAAATGAATGTATATAAAGTACTTAAATATGGTTAATATGAAAGTAACTTTTTGCTGTGGCTCTGGGTTAAGACAGATAACAAAAGAGAAGTTTTGTCATTTGATTTTTAATACAAAATTATACTTTATTCTCTTTCAGAGATATTTTAAGACATTTTTTATAAGATAGGCTTGACTGACTTTACCTTTTATAAATAGCTATAATTTTATTGCTGTACAAGGTCTAAGTATATTAGAAGGTTTTGCCTCCACTATAATAAGTGATTTATTATATATGTACATTGTAGAAGAAAGAGTTTAGTGCCAATTTAATTGAGACTCCTTTTCTATTTTATTATTTTGGGCAGGGTTTGTGCCTTGCTCATTCACCACTGCAGATCTGGCAGTTAGAGACCTACTCCTAGTCATTCACTCAACATGGCGACTGTGTTCAATGATTGAAAGCCTGAATCACAGCCTTTAAAAGCTAGCGTTTAAATACAGAATGTAATGCGTGCTGTTCTTATGAAATGTTTAGCTGGTTCTTGAAGTAGTTTTCCTTTCTCTAACATCTCTATAAAACAAAACTTCTAGTGTCTCGTCAGACAAGGGAAGATCTCAGAAAACTCCAACTTCTCCCCTATCTCCAAGTTCCCAGAAATTGTTGCAGTTTGACCTTCCAGGAACTTCACTGGAAAGATCTAAATCCTCGGTAATAATGCCTCCATCTGTGACAGGATTTAAGCCTAATGCACCTTTTACTGACATGAACCCTCCTGCCAGCAGAACGCCCTCAGAGATGGCCTCGGCACCAGGCAAGTAGATCCATGTAGTTGTAATTTCAAGTACTATTTTTTCCCCTTAAAATCCTTTTTCTTTCAGTCGAGCTGTAGGGAAATGTTATCTCAAGTGAATGTGATTACTTTTTGAAGTATTAAAAACTATGCAGGAAAAGAAGTGCAGATTCAGCAGTGGTGATTTTCCCCGTTTTGTCAGCATTAGTCAAACACACCTGAAAAATGTACATTGTACTATTAATTAAGTCACTGACTTTTCCCACAATGGAAAACAGACTCTTTTGGCTCTTAATTAATTAATTAATTAATTAATTTAATTTTAGAGTGAGAAAGAGAGAGCGTGAGGCAGGAAGAGGCGCAGAGAGTGAGAGAGAGAATCCTAAGTAGCCTCCATGCTCAGTGTGGAGCCCCACCTGGGACTCGATCCCACGACTCTGAGATCACAACCCGAGCTGAAATCAAGAGTCTGCAGCTCAACTGACCCAGCCACCCAGGTGCCCGCGTTTTGGGTCTTAAGACAAGAAATGAATATCAGAAATCTGAGATGTTGCTTCACGTGAGCTTTTTTACATTTGACAGTTATTATGCCTTCCAGGTTCTAAGCGCTTTTCTCCTGCTGGCCTCCAGCATCGAATGGCGGCAGAACTCAGTTACTTGAGTGCCATTGAGGAGTCCGTGCGCCAGCTCTCAGATGTGGAGAGAGTTAGGGGCATATCGCTGGCTCAGCAGGAGAGCGTGTCTCTGGCTCAGATCATAAAGGTATTTGTGGAGTTTTCTTCTTTAGCTTTCTGGGTTTTTTCTCTTTTCTATTTAAAATCGTTTCAATGATGAGGTAGACAACAAAAACAGTAACAACAGCAACACACAAAACTTTATCCTGCCAAGTAGAAAAAAATAGCGTGACATACAGCACCTATAAATAACTGTGGGAAAACTATCACACAGAGTACTAAAAAGAAAATGAAACATCTGACATTTGGCAGCAAAACAGTAATTCAGTCATTCTCTCTCAAACCCTTTATTTTCCTTGTTCTCTGCTTTTTAAAATGACTGTGAACATCAGCTAATCGGACAGCTCTCAGTTATTGTCTTTTTCACTGACAAGTCAGAGATGACCTTTTATTTCTGTTTTTGCTTTTAATGTTTTATTTGTACCAGAAAGAAAAGTCTCTGAGATCCAGGTATTTGGTAAAGCCAGGATAATGTGCACTTTTCCTTAGCGAATAAACATCTAATAAAGGTCTACGTAGTGTTCCTACATAAAAGTTCCGTTGGTTATCTTTAAAAAAAAAAACAAAAACAATAAAAGTTAGTATTTACAATATACTGAAATATACAGATTTTAAGTGTTCCATAGTTTGATTGGTTTCGATCAGTACAACCACCACCCTAATCAAAATATAGAATACTTCTGTCACTTCAGAAAGTTCACCCATGGTCCTTTTTAGTTAATCCTCTCTCCTGGAGAGTTACTGTTCTGATTCCTAATCACTGTGGTTTTATTTTTGCCTGGTCTAAAACTTCATATAAATGGTTATATACTTTGTACTCTGTTGTGTTTCGCTTATTTCATGTGGCATAATGTTTTTAAGATTCATCCTTGCAGTATCCATTGTTTTGTTTGTGTTGATTTTTGTCTGAGTAATGTTCCATCGATCAGTGTAATGTAGTTTGTTTATCCCTCCTCCTGTTGATGTACATTTGTATTATTTCCAGTTTGGGGCTATTATAAATACTCCTGTTATGAATATTTTTTACAACTCTGTATTCAACATATGCTTTCATTTTTCTTGCTTTAATACCCAGGAGCGTAATTGCTTGGGTCAAGTAAAAGTGTATGTTTAACTTCGTATGAAACTGTTATACTGTTTTCCAAAGTAGTTGTAACATCTGACTCTCATGTGAGAGTCCCAGTTGCTCCCTGTCCTTGCTGTCATTTGCTATTCTAGGCATCCTAGTGAGAGTGAAGTAGTGGCCCATTGTGGTTTTAATTTGTGTTTCTTTGATGACTGATAGGTTGATAATCTTTTTGTGTATTTATTGACCATTCCCACATTGTCTTTTGTGAATATTCAGATTTTTTGCCTATTTCATAATAACGTTGTTGTTGAGTTGTAGGAGTTCTTTATATATTCTAGACACAGGTCCTTTTCAGATATATTTCAAGTATTGTTTCCCTGTCCTTGGCTTGCCTTTTAATTAAAAAAAAATTTTCTTTTTTGCCCTTTTATTTTTAAACTGTATCTTTTGAAGTGCAGAATATTTTAATTTTAATGAAATCTAGTTTTTAATTTTTTTCTTTTATGGTAGTCCCTTTTGATTTCTAAGAAATCTTTGCCTATCCTAAGATATTAAGGTACTGTAACAAAAATATTCTTTTATGTTTTTCCAAAAAGTGTTATAGTCTTGGCTTTTATATTTAAGTGTGTGAACCCTCTCAAGTTAATTATGGGGTGTGAAGAAGGGACCAAAGTTTATCTTTTCCTCCATCTAGATTTTCAGTTGTTTCATCACTATTTTCTTAAGAAGACTTAAATTACCTAGGCACCTTTATCAACAATTAAGTAGTCACTTATGTGTCAATCTGTTTCTGGACTCTGTCCTTTTCCATTGATCTGTTTGTCTATCCTTAACTCCAGCACCATGCTGTTTTAACATGTCTTTAGAGTGAGTCATGAAATCAGAGTGTAATTACTTCAACTCTGTTCTTTCTCAAGGTGGTTTTGGCCATTTTATTTTATTTTTTTTTTACATTTCTACATAACTTTTAGAATCAGTTTATCAGTTTATACAAAAAAAAAGAAAAAAAATGCCTGGTATAATTTTGATTTGAATGGTATTGAATCTATAGATGATTTCCAAGAAAATCTAGAAATCTCAATTAAGTGTAATGCCCAAGTTATGAAATCTTATTTTAAAAAATAATTAAAAAAAAAGAATCAGATCAATTTGGGGGTAGACTTTATAGTTGTTTTTTTTTTTTCTGTGCTATATAACATTAAAAATTTTTTTTAATTTAATTTTTTTTTTAATTTACATCCAAATTAGTTAGCATATAGTGCAACGATGATTTCAGGAGTAGATGCCTTAGTGCCCTTTACCCATTTAGCCTGTCCCCCCTCCCACACCTCCTCCAGTAACCCTCTGTTTGTTCTCCATATTTAAGAGCCTCTTATGTTTTGTCCCCCTCCCTGTTTTTATATGATTTTTGCTTCCCTTCCTTTATGTTCATCTGTTTTGTCTCTTAAAGTCCTCATATGAGTGAAGTCATATGATACTTGTCTTGCCCTAATTTCACTTAGCATAATACCCTCCAGTTCCATCCACGTAGTTGCAAATGGCGAGATTCCATTCTTTTTGATTGCCGAGTAATACTCCTTTGTGTGTGTGTGTGTGTGTGTGTGTG